GAGAGAGAGAGAGAGAGAGAGAGAGAGAGAGAGAGAGAGAGAGAGAGAGAGAGAGAGAGAGAGAGTGAGAGAGGGTTAGGGAGAGGGAGAGGGAGAGAATGTATGTGTCACACACACACACACACACACACACACACACACACACACACACACACACACACACACACACACACACACACACACACACACACACACACACACACACGCACACATCCATCCTCTCACCCTCTCACCCCCTTTCTTACCTCACAGAGTGCACACCAGGCTACTTACCTGGCTTTGTCATGTCACGCGGTCCTGACTCTTCTTTTGTTACCGAACTGCTACGTCATGTCTGTATTCTCGATGCCTGCCCGACGCACCACGTACTCAGGGGCCAAGGCATACAAGGATGGTGTAGGTGAAGGGGGGGTGGGGGGTAGGGGAGGGAAGCTGGGCGAGGGGGGGGGAAAGGTTTGTCTCGAAGATATTTGCTATGGTGGGCATTTTATCGTTATTATTGTTGATGTTATTACTACTACTACTACTACTATTATCGTTGTTATTATTATTATTTGTATTACTACTACTACTATTATTGTTATTATTATTATTATTTTATTATTATTATTATTATTATTATTATTATTATTACTATTATTATCACTATCATTATTATTGTTGTTGCTGTTGTTATACTGATAATGTTTATAATAATAATAAAATTTTAGAAATAAAAATAAAAATAATAATGATGATAATGATGATAATTATATCAATGATAATGATAATGATGGCAATAATAACGAGAATGATATCATTAACACTAACAATATCATATATGATAATGATAATGGTGGTAATGGTAATAATGATAATGATAATGATGTTAATGGTAATGATAATAATGATTTATTATTATTATTATAATGTTTATTATTTTTTATGATTTTCGTCATCATCATCTATATTATTGATGTTATTGTTATTATCGCTATTGTTGATATTAATGATAATATTATTATCGTCATTATTATTATTATTATTTATTATTATTATTATTATTATTGTTATTATTATTATTATTATTATTATTATTATTATTATTATTATTATTATCATACTGTTGTTCTTTTTGTTATCATTGTTTTTATTATTATTATCGATATTAATTCCATTATCATTGATACTGTTATCATAATCGTTATGATTATCATTATTGTTATTGTTGTTGTTTTTATTTTTGTTATTACTGTTATTGTTATTTTTATTGTTACTCCTATTTTATTTTTGTAAAAGCGCGAAGACTGGCATCCGTGGCCCAAACACAATGCATGGCTGACATGAGTTGCAAACATAATATGCAAGACATGACTGTCATAGCATGCTACATTTCCCATACATGACGAGGGGCCAGCGCATGACACACCGATAAGGCAGATGTGCTAATTTGTATGTTTGTTCTGGTGTGTCTGACATGTGGGATATGACACACTTTTTGACAGGAGTGACATGCCATACGATACTTATAGTGTGATAAGCGATCAGTGTGCCATGCAGGGTGATTGGGCTGGTGCGATTGATATATACGAGATTGGCGTGTTTTGTAACTTGAAATGCATGGCTGATACATGATCTGGGGACAACTTCTGGTTCCGGCATGACTAATTTTGTAAGTAGGTATATATATATATATATATATATATATATATATATATATATATATATATATATACATATACATATACATATACATATACATATACATATACATATATATACATATTTTTTTCTCTCTCTTTTCTTTTCTTTTTCTTTTTCTTTATTCTTCTTTCTTTCCTTCTTTTTTCTTTGTTTTTCTTTTATTTCTATTTTTCTTTCTTTTCCTATTCTTTGTTTTTCTTTAATCTTTATTTTTTCTTTCTTTCTTTTCTTGTCCTTACTTTCTTTTCGTAATTCGCATTTACATTTGATTTTTTAAAAGTATTTAGAAGGCCATCACTGGAATAATAAAAAAGAAAAATGCAAATCATCTTGATTCCCCGCTTACATCTTTAATTTTTAACATTTTTCGGTGAATTTATAGCAACTGAAAATTATCGTCGATTTTTTTTTCGTGGAAACCTCGGGAAATGATAAATAAATAAATATATATATATATATATATATATATATATATATATATATATATATATATATATATATACATATGTATATACATATGTATATACATATATATATACATATGTATATACATATGTATATACATATATATATACATATGTATATACATATGTATATACATATATATATACATATGTATATACATATGTATATACATATGTATATATATGTATATATATATACATTGTATATATATATGTTATATATTCATATTAAATCTCTATTCTCTCCCTCTATTTTGATCCTCTCACTCTCCCTCTCCCCACCTCCCCCTCTCCCTCCTCTCTCTCCCTCCCCTCTCTCTCTCTCTCTCTCTCTCTCGCTCCCCCTCCCCTCTCTCTCCTCTCTCTCTCTCTCTCTCTCTCTCTCTCCCTCCCTCCTCCCTCCCTCCCTCCCTTCCCTCCCTTCCCCACCCCCCTCCACCCCCCCCCTCTCTCTCTCTCTCTCTCTCTCTCCTCTCTCTCTCTCTCTCTCTCTCTCTCTCTCTCTCTCTCTCTCTCTCTCCCCCTCCCTCCCTCCCTCTCCCCCTCCCCTCTCCTTCCCTCCCTCCTCCCTCCCTCTCCCCCTCCCTCCCTCTCTCCCCTCCCTCCCCCCCTCCCTCCCCCTCTCCCTACTCCCACTCCCACTCCCACTCCGCTTCCCACTTAATTCCACGGAACAAACTCTAAAGCTAACTGTTCCCCGAAAACGATCCCTGGCGCCCTGAGAGGCCGCGCCGGCAACACGCACGGTCTTAGTGGGTCAGAAACGCACCAGAAACATCACCACAGGGTTTTTTTTTATTATTATTATAGCGGTCGCGTCTGATGGTAATAAATGTGTTTATGATTATTACCTGCGCTGGTTCCTCCCGCCGGGGCGCTGAGGTCTCGTGGACAGATGCAGCCGTGTTTTTTTTTTTTTTTTTTTTTTTTCCCAAATCAGTCTGGTTCCGAAAGCAGATGAGTTTCGTGCTCGCTCGCTGGCCTCATTCCCTGCGCGATGGGGATTTTTCTGGCGGGTTGTGGCTGTGTCATACACACTCAAACGCACGCGCACGCACGCGCATGCGCCTGTATAAACTTACACATATATTGTACACATATATATCTATATT